ATTGCCTGGGCGTTTCCCTACGCCCCACCTGGTTTGTACACTCAATTACATTTGGACATAATATATATATATATATACATAACAAACAGTACATATTAAATATATTGTAGAGCTTTGCAAAGCGGTGATGCCATGAGGATTGTTGGTGTAGACTCAATGGTTTTGATCCCCGGCAGCCGAAAAAAAACCACGGTATTTACAAGTTGTTTTTGCATCAGGGACCCAGAAACACAGCAAATATGAATGTTTTGGAAGCAATAGCAAGGCCTGACCACGTGACTATCAGGTAAATTTAACTCTCGGTGTGCGAACCATCGGCTGTACAGATTTTCTGCGCACCACCACTAACTGCAGAACGCGACTAGTAGTGTCCTTGCTCCTAGTAGCGATGCCCTTTGTTACTAGTAGCGTCCTCTTGTTACTAGTAGTAAGGCCAGGAGCTATGTTGGCAGCGTCCTTGCTCCTAGTAGCGATGCCCTTTGTTCCTAGTAGCTTTTTGTTACTAGTAGTAAGGCCAGGAGCTACCAGTAGCGTCCTTGCTCCTAGTAGCGATGCCCTTTCTTACTAGTAATAGCGTCCTCTCGTCCTCTTGTTACTAGTAGTATGGCCAGGAGCTACTAGTAGAGACATGCGATGCCCTTTGTTACTAGTAGCGTCCTCTCGTCCTCTTAGTGGTAAGGCCAGGAGCTATGTCCGTAGCGTCCTTGCTCCTAGCTTCAAGACCACCACATCAGACGTTTTGCTCACATCGGGCGAGTTGGCAGCGTCCTGGCAAGTTGGCGAGTTGGACATTCTTCGACACCACAACAGGCGCGATAAGGAGCAAAAGGCGGGACCCACAGAGGCCACTCGAGGACGAAAATCCTGCCCAAAGACAGACGCGCTCCTAGACAGGAGGTTGAGGGCTGGCGGAAACTCTTCACCTGGAACGTTCACCTGTAATTTTCCTGCCCTAACTGCAGAGCGCGTTGAAAAAACGGCGAGTCGGTCTTTACTGACGGCTGAGCCGACAGGCGAATGGCCGGAACCAGCGAATATCTTTCGTTTTATGTACTATTTCTTACAGTGACCGGCAAAAAAGTTGAACTGTCGTAGCAAGTGAATGGTGGACCTTTCTTACACCTGTGCTTGTGTTCTCGGCTTGGCAAGAGTCCTAAAGGCTGTTGGGGGTTATCTCCTGCTTCTGGTTTGGTGGAACAGGTAGAATACTGTGCCCAGTGACACGAGAATATGGAACAAGTAGCTGAAGAGCTGGTGAGGGCTGTTCACATGGAACATTAACCTTTTCTTTTTTGACTTAGGAACAAGAAGCTACTAGGGGCTCCTGGCATCGCTACTAGGAGCAAGAAGCTAACTGCGGAGCGCATCGAAAACCCGGCATGTCAGGTCTTTTTTAAAAATCCATTTATACATGCAAAGTCCAGACGCCCGGTCTCTGCAAGAAACGGTCAGAAATGCCGGATTCCGATGGTGAAACAGATTTCGCGAAACCCAGCCTGCAGGTGATCGAGCACGAAGGCCATTTGGCACTTTGCTTCCAGCTTCAAAGATGTGACTTGCGATCAGCTTTGAAGCGTTGGGGTCAAGGACGTTGGCTGAGAGTGTGTGGTGTTTTTTTTTGCATTTTCATCAGTTTCTATTGAAAAAACGTGCATGTCACAACTCTTTTTTGTACGTCAATGATGCGTTCGTGAGAACTCTCTTCTCTCCTGCGCCCACAGGAGCGGGTTTGCCTCTTGGGCTCGTGCGAAATTATGCCACTTGGCCGCATGAAGGTAGCCCCAATCCCCATGTTTGGGCAAAACGTGTGGAACAGAATCTCTAACGTGCTCATTCCGTGTGCCTATGAGGCTCGGAACATGTTCTTGGCCTTGCGCGCTTTGAAACTGGTGAGCATTGTACACAGTGACCTGAAGCCAGACAACCTTTTGGTGTCGATGGCTCCATGGTTGAGAGTGGGGAGGGGGCCGAGTTGCTGATTTGCTAGCTTATTTCAAACCAACGCTTTTTGTAACATACGTCGTAAAGTCCCATTCCTTGGGTTCTTGAAAACCTATCCTAATCGTTTCCAAGCAGAACTCGTTCTTTTCCGAACTGTTTCGTCAATCTGGGAACCGGTTCGTTGAGGACAAGATGTCCGTCAAGCTGTCGGACTTTGGGTCAGCCATGGATGTGAAGGATCGTCTCCGCGCGGAGAAGGCCTCTGAATCCCTGCAGCCGCGCTTCTACCGGGCGCCTGAGGTGATCTTGGGCTTGCCGTATGACACGCAAATCGATGTGCCACGGCAAATGCAAACGGTCAAATTGGGTTTGTAAGCATCGTTGCCCCGTGCTGACTAGAGTCTTAGAGTTTAGCAGGGTTGCTCCATGGATGTATATCAGCCCTGATATTCGGAGGCTGAAAGGGGTTCTTGAAATTGGAAGTGATGAAAGTGAAGCAAGATACCAGGTCATGCCAGGTCACTCCCAGAAGTTCCGCTGCGGCAGAACAGTGGTATTTGCAATGTCGGCAAGAACATGCCTTGTGTCCACTGCTAACCACGCGACCAGTCGCCACCAGTCGCCACGCGACCAGTAATGTGACACGTGACACACGTGACACACGTGACACTGCACCATTGAGAAGCTGATTTCCAACGGTCAGAAGAGCGGCGACGTCCTCCTTCCATCCTCCAGATAGCTTTGTCCTATTTTTGGATGTGCGGCGTGCATGTGCCAAGGTGTGGAGTGCTGGCTGCACGGTGTTCGAAATGGTCACAGGCAGATTCCTTTTTGTTGGCCGTGACAACAACGAGATGCTCTACCGAATAATGAAGTGCTTTTCCTGCATAATTTGCGCATTTAATTGCCCTGTTGATTTTGCTTGCAGCTTTGGAGCAGTGATTATGTGTAGAACTACTAAACATGTCTATAGGAGTGAGATGCCTGGACACTGCTCTTTTGAGCTGAGGCAGCTTGGAGCGTTCTCGCGGAAATTCTGTGGAAGTGGCAAGCTGTCAGAGCGTCATTTTCGGAGAGAGGATCCCGGCAGCTTTCAAAGTCTACCAACAGATGCATGTCGTGAGCGCTTTTTAGCTCGAGTGGGTGTTTTGTATTGTACAGTAGATGAATCAACTAACCAAGACGACTTCACTTGCTTGACGCCTGCATGGATATGATTTGCAGAACACCGCTGACATCGTGCCTCATTCTTTTTTGCTGGTTTGGAACATTTTGCCCAAATAGTCTTCACATGTCCCTGACTTGGTCCTGGGTCCAAGAAGGCACTTCCCATGAACAGAAAACCTCAAAAGAAACGAAAAGTGGATCCCCGGCACCCTTTGCAACATGTCTCTTGCAGGATGGGGCCTTCCGATGCGGCGCTGATGCCAGTGGCGAGCCGCTGAAGTTCATTGGGCGCGAGGACTTCCCACGTCCTGCGAGGTGGGACCGGAGCTGTTTTCAAGAGCCTCTCTTTGTGTTGGAGACAGTCCCAAGTCCGGTAGAGAAGCCCACATCTATTTTTTTTGATCCTTTACCCCAACAGAGAGGACTCTTTTCGTTTTCTTTTCTTCAATTCTTTTCGTTCTTTCCTTTCTTCGCTTCTATATACTGAGACACAGCCGATCTGACTCCTCCAAGGCCGATCTATGAAGAGCTGCAGGAACCTTTACAGCTCAATGGAAATGAAACTGGCCAAGTGGCGGCGAAAGCCTTGGTGGAGTTGTGCCCTGGCATAACACCTAGACATGGCAACAAAAGGCACAGTTGCAGAAATTACCAAGCTTTTGTTTGGTCCTTTTGAAGATGCATTCCACTGTCTCATTCAACCGCTGTGTTAGCTGCATTGGACCACAAACTGCTTCAACTTGTGTGTACTTTTACTGTATATTATAGTTTGTGGTGTAGTTGTGTCCATGAATTTAAGGGAGGCCTAATAGCAAAGTCTTTCACAGGACAGCTGAAACATATCATGCTTTGTTTGTCACCTTGAACTTTGGGCCAGAGCTCTTGATTCCCTCTACAAGCGATATCGAGCATTTTCTATTGGACGGAGGCCATTGCTATTAGGTTTGAGGCCAAGAGTACCAGGGCTTGGATGGTTTGAGCCCTCCGAGGATCTTGGCGTGCGTGACACCTGACACTTGGATCACAGATCAGCAGTGCGAACTAACTTTTTCCGGATTTCTGGGGTGTGCGGGGCGCCCGGGGCGTGGCAACCGTGGCTTTTTGCTTAAGGTGGGAGGTTGCGGTTCAGTTTCCGAAAGGCGAGCTCTTTTTGAAGGTGTTTGTGAACACATCGGATTCGCAACAGCTTTTTGACTCCTCATATTCATCGACAAGTAAACAACTTCACAGACCGGCTTACTCAACATTTCTACCCTGGCTCACTAATTCGGTGCAAGATAGTGAGATGCAATCGAATGTTTACTGTTTCATATTCATATTCATATTATTTCATATTCATATTATTTCATATTCATATCATTTTTTTTGTTTTTGCTTCGGCAGCCAGACAACATGCTAGAACTGATAATGATGTCCAGCAACGAGCCTAGATAGTTTGACCTTTGTGTTTGGCTTATCATTTTCACACACACACACGTCATACTCGCGTGGAAATGGGATGTGGGTTTCTTTTGGGGTCTTTGAGTCTAGAGAGACTAGAGAGGGTTTCGCTTCAAGAAATGAAAGGATCCGGCACTCCGTGTGGATCCCGAAGCCGCACTGAGCACTTGCTTTCTTCGGCCATCGGGCAATCGAGTCCAATGAGATTCGAGAGAAACGATTGTCGCTTGTTCAAAACTGTGGGAGGCCATGTTTTGGCTCCCCATGTAAGGGCCGTCATCATTTTGGCGCCTTTTTTCGTACTCATTATTGTTTCCTGTTCTTGTCATGATTTGAACAAGAGGGCTTGAAGCGTTGCTGCCGCAGTTGTGCAGTGGGCCAGTCCAGTTTGAATTTGCAGTTGATTGATTTCGTGCGAACCCCACTTGCACATTGAGACGGGTTGAACTGCGATTCAGTTCAGAGCCTGAGTGGCACTAAGCCAATCATGTTGGCTGTTCAAACGCTTAGGAGCCACAGTCAAGGATGATTCCATGGTCTCCAATGCGTGTGAAAAGACCTGACATGTCCAGACTGATGAGTAGGCAGAAACGCCCGGCCAACTGAATTAAACCAACGGACGATTTCAAGTCAATTGGCTTTGCAGCTTTGAATGCTGAGGCAGCATGAATCGAACTCGCACCTTGCCGTGCAAGGGTGTCGCCACCCAGCTTTGATGCACAGGGAATCAACAGTTTGTAATGACTTCAAGAACTGATTCGCGGCATGCGTGTTCTCAGAAAGAGCGACATTTGTCGGAACAAGCCTGTTGATTGTAAGCTACGGAGGATGCCTTTGTGGAGGGATCATGTAAATAGACGGCAGAGAACGAACATGAAAGTTAATGTTGGCAAAGATCTTTATGGTGAGAGACTATACGAGAGATCTGGTATGAGAGAAAGTTTAAGGTGACCCAAAGGCAGGGCCCCACCTTCTCTACTTGATAAAGGGTTGTTCTTCGTTTGAGAATTAGCTCAGAGTTTGTGTCTTTGTGTTTTTCACATGCACATGTTGTAAGTAGACCGTACTCATCATCACTCAATCACGCAAGTAGTCTTAAGACTCATCCATAACCATGAACGCCTCAATCCGCGATGGGAGTTGCTTTAAATGGACGGATTGATGTCCAAGGCGCTGCTCTGGCAACTTGGTAGAAAAGACCGAAGGAACAAGAGAACAAACAGGAGAACAAACTAGGAAAACAGACTCCAAGAAAAGGAATAAGAAGCTACTAGTAACAAAGGGCATCGCTACTAGGTACTAGGAGCAAGTTCGCTACTAGGGGCTCCTGGCCTTACTGCTAGGAACAAGAAGCTAGGGACCAAAACGGACCCCTTCAGAATCTAGGTAGGTCACATAGTCTGTTCTGGAGGTGAATCCTCGCGAAGACCCACAACGATTCTCTGGCCCCCTGCAGGCCTACGACCATTCAAGAGTTCCGGATTTGCTTTGCGGCCGAAGCTGTCTGAGGTCTCGAGGACGTCGTCAGCTGTGCGGCCGGAGCTGTCAGCGCGTTGTCATGTGTCACGTGTTGGCGGCAGGACATATCCAACACGTTCTGTGTCGCCAACAAGTTCTGCAAAGGTGGGGGAGTGATCAGACCTCAAAGCGAGTGGAAGTGTCAAAGCAAGGACTTGGCTCAGTGACAGGAAGAGGGTGGAAGGGTCGGTTTGAGGGGGGCTTGACAATTTGATGAAGGTACTTAGTATAGTCTGGACTTGCCACTGGCCGCCCGGCATTGGCTCTGGATGGCTGAGCAGATTTAATGCGAACTTAAGCAATGTAGGAGCTACCTACCTGGAAACTAAACACGATACTGTACATGACTTAGTCTTAGACTTGAAGCTTGAATACCCGTTAATGTGCCTTCACCAACACTGATGAGTTAAAACAACAACTCATGACAGCAGAGCAAATCACAAATACAATGCTGCCTGTGGGTACTGATGGGCTTGCCTTCCTGGCTTCAAGCCAACGAATAGGCACAATGCTCGGCCCATTTGCAGATTTGGTCAGTGTGTTGCTTTGTTTGTCGAGTGACTATGCACAGGAGTTCTGAGGTGTGAGAGCGAGTCATCATCCAACTGAGTTTCACAAGTTTCCCTAAAAATCTAGGAACCAAATCATTAGTGCGAGCTCTTCTTCAAGGAAGCTCCCCCATCCTCAGGCAGGGGAAGCTTCTTTGAAGAAGCGCAAGCTATCCTGCGTCCTAGCTAGTAGCGACATTCTCCCATACTAATACTGAATTTTGTAGGCGCCGACTTAGTTATATAAGTAGGAGCGGGCTCAAATGAAAAAGACAATGGGTGGCCTTACTACTAGGAGCAAGGACGCTACTAGGGGCTCCTGGCCTTACTACTAGGAGCAAGAAGCTATTAGAGGCTCCTCAGTCTTTCCGAACATTGAGCGCCAGATGTTCGAACCCCAGCAGCTCGGGCGCCCCGAGTCTCCAGAACATCGGCGGGGCAGGGAAGCCTGGAGGGTGTCCCAGCAGGTTCAGCTAAAAGCGTGTCGGCTCCCTTGCAATTTGGAAGCATGCATACAGTGGAAGTTGCTTGTTATGTGCCTTGTACTCTGTGTGGGGAACAAAAGCATTTTGGCCGAGGCAGCACGCGCTGTCCATAGCAGCAGGTTCTTTGTCTGCCTCTCGCTGAGGGATTCCAAAGGGTCTTAGCGGATTGGATGATTCACATTTCATTGGAGTTGCGAATCTCCCACATACATGCCTAACATCCCCCGTGGCCAGTTCTATTCTAAGGCCTGTGCGGCGGCGGCTTGGGCGCGGCCACGAAAAGCTGGATGCCGCAAAGGCTTCCGGGCAGGTGTCGGGACAGATTTTCAGATTTTCAGACAATTTTAATGTCTTAGGTCATTCACCGAAAATATTTGCGCACTTCGTGTGTTTCAAGTGAGTTTTGAGTTTTGAGGCACGCTTTGCAAAGTTGGATGTTTTGCTGAGGTTTTGTGGCTTTGCGTGCTGAGGCCTCTGTTGGGCGAACTGCGAACGTTGAAATACTTCAACGTTTGATTGAGTCATTGAGGTGAACGTGATTGAGTCGGTGTCAGACTGGTGACTGGCTGATATTGATCTGACAGGATGCGGAGGATGATTTGTCCATCACTGCTGCCACGGACTGATCCCACCCCAATCACCTTGGGCCTTGGATGATAGTGTTCAGAGCTTATGGTGCAGGACACGCGGGTAGTGAAGCGGGAGCTGAACGACAGGTGGGAATTCCTACCAACTGGGTTTTCCAGGGTATTTCAGGTTCTGATGACTCCACGAACATCTCGTGCTTTCAGGCAGCAGCAGTTCTGGGAAATGCTTGAGGAGGACTTTGAGGAGGGACGCCAGGGTCATCTCTTGCTCTGGGCAAAACAGCTACTACTGTAAATATATGTAAATAATGTAAATATAACAAAATAATAAGAACATACAACAAAGGAAATAAGAAGAGGAAGGTAAGGCAGGAAGGCCTCCTTTAAAGGAGGAACAGTCGTGTTCGTTTCTTTTCTATCAGGTTCATCTCGTTACAAACTCATATATTTCTTAGAAACAAGAAGCTACTAGGAACAAGTGCATCGCTACTAGTAACAAGTGCCTTACTAGTAGTAACAATGTTTGCTATTAGTTAATTTAATTCTAATTTCTTAGTCTTTTGAGGAGGATGTCGTCCCAGAGTTCGGGCGGGAGAATCTCCTCCGTGTCTACGAGTTCATCAAGTGAGGGCCTGAGGTGTGTTAGTCTGGAGGAGTATATATATATATCTTTTAACTTTTTTCTTTGTCATCCTGTTGTTTAGCGTGAAGCCTGTGAAACAGCATGGAGGCCTATCAAAGAACATATCACCCTCGATCGATGCTCCAAGCCGAATGGTATTCAAGGTACTGCAAGTACGAGAAGGAAATCCCGGAATTGCCTGAACTTCAGGAGGGGGCGAAGCCTTGGACGAAACGGCGAAGCGACGTTTTTTGCCAAAAAAGAAGCGTCCTTTTTCCTCAGGAGATCGATCCCGAATTCTTCCCTGGACTCACAGCAAAGCCATGGTGCGGCGTGCCCCAAATAATTTGCTGAGAAACTCTCACCTGCTTCGCTCTTCGCACCACCTTTTGGTGCACAGGTGGAATGTGGAGGAGCTCGACAACCCGGAGTGGGTGGAAAAAGTCGTGGCGGGACTGCCTTATGCAGCAAACTGAGGATTGCCTTATAGTTGGATATTTGTTGGTGAACTTTGTCACTCCGTTTGTTCAAGGTGCAGGGTGAGCTGGCTGACCTGTTAGAGGCTTGGAGCATTTTGGAGCGGACATGAACTGACCTTGTAATGAACGTTTGTGAGTCTGTTTTGTCGAAACTCATTAAATGAGTTTCGACCAAACAGACTCACAGACGTTCTTTTTTAAATTTGCAGGACAATGAGGAATACTTGATCTCTGACAGTGTTCGATACTCAGAGGGCAGATCTGTTGGATTGGGATCTGTCGAAGTCGAGCGATGTCGAACCGGATCTTCCTGAGGTCAAAAACGAAGTCATGGGCGGTGGCTGGTCTGGCTTTCGCCTCCGCCGGCTTGGTGCATGGTTGTCGAGAAACTGTGAGCTCTTCCCCAAGACGGTACAACTCTTGAAGCAGTTCGGATGGCCCAGTTTGAAACGACAGGGCTCAAGGCACTTCATTTGAAGGGTGAGGGCCCGGTGAAAGCGTCACAAGATCACGGTTCTGGTTGGGAAACTGCAAGCCACAACTGTGTCTCAGGTCTGACGTGCCATTGGCCATGCGTGGAGTCATTGTTGCACGACAGGCGATGGTGTTTGTTTCGGCGGTTTGCAAGCTCTTTCAATTGTTTCGCAGTTTCAATATGCTTTTTACTGGTTGTTGTTGCTTTGCAAGTGGCAGATAGCGTAGCCGTTCCATTCCTTTTCATGTTCGTCGCATGCATTTCTTGGCCATACCTTTGCTCGAGCGCACCCTTTGCAGCAGTTATGAAGGCGAGCTGAAGAGCCGATACTGAAAAGGCGACTTTCTCAGAATGATTGCATAGCGGCATAGCCTGAAACATAGCCTGACCGACATCTCTGGTGCGCCTGACCCAATTACATCTCTGGTCGATTCGGGTTGCGAGCGTAGACATCTCCGAAATGGAAGCTTTTGTGCTGGGTGCTGCCGGGGGCAGTGCTGGAGTGGCCTCTGCAACCTTGGCGGCCAAAGCCTTTTCGGAGTGCTGGGATCGAGAAGCTGTTGAGCAACGCTTGGAGGAGTGGAGATGTGGGAAGGCACTGGAGATGTATAGATGCATCATGTGTGTGACCCAAGCTGGAGTAGCAAATATGGGGTTCAAAGCGTGTGGCTTGCAAAAAGATACAGTCAAAATTGTGCTGAAAAAGGCACAATGACTCTCAAATGAAATCACTTTGCTGGGGAACTTCAGGAGGTTCGAGCGCAAGCAGGGCAGAGCATTCCACCCAATGTTGAGCCGTTGGCAGCTTTGAAGCACTTGCTGGAGATCCTGGAACGGTCCTTGCAAAGGCGCAGACTCTCGAAAGGGCTTGCAGATGCCATGGATTATATTGTTGCAGACTGAACTATGCTAAAGATGAATGTGGCAGTGGCATTCTATGGTCTGAGACACTCTCCTGATCTATCCAGTACTTGAAGGTCGCCCAATTTTTTGGTTAGCCAACTGAAGCCTTCGGTACTTACTTGCGACAACCCCTGTGGATTGTTTGTTTAATGATATTTTGACCAGTTTGCCTTGTGTCTATCGGAGCATCACTTTCTTTTGTCCGTTCGCAGGTGCTCCAGCGAG